GCACTAAATGAACTGCAATATTTCAAGGACTACCTGTATTTGGAGTAGAATGGGAGGTTCTGCCCAAACTCTACTCTCAATGGACAATATCTCAAACAGGACAGGATGCAAGGTTTCTTTTCTTTTCCCAGAGAATCCACCTTTGGGGAACAGTGATGACAGTAATTGCAAAGCTGAATCTTTTTCATCATCTCAAAAGGCCATACAGAGTTGCTGATCACCCGGCCCTTCCAGAAAGCGAGGTAGTTCTTTTACTCATTGCATCATGGAAGACTTTAAACCCAAGCCTTAATTACTTGTGTTAAGGCATTAAACCAATTATTAAAGGCATCAACATACAGTATTTATGCTTGTGGAAGGAGTTTAAAGAACCCAAAGCCCGTACAAAGAATGGGATACAGCTAACTTTGGTTGGAAGAAAAAGGGTGGCAAAAAGCAGAATTTTCTGATTGGCAAAAAAATCCCATTCATAATTTACAAACATCATACTTACTCCAGGACAAGGTCTACATAGCTTTTCTCTCGTTCTTTTATATAATCTGCCATACACCTTTTCTTATGCCTCCTCCTCCCACCCTCCATCCCGGGTCTGTGAATCACAAGCGCTAAGGACACAGAAATGATGAGTCTAAATCAGAGGTGTCAAACACAATTTTATTGAGGGCCGCATCAGGGTTGTGTTTGACCTCTGGGGGCGGGGGTCATGGCCAGGGTGGACATGGGCAGCATGACATCATTCGTGTTGGGGGCATCTGTGGTGGCCTGAGCGCTGTCCCAGCGAAAATGGGCTCCCGAGCTCAGTTTTTGGCTGCAATGGCCTCCTGCAACTCTCTGCCAGTGAAAACGGAGTTTGGGAGGGCCGCACACATTTTCACTGGCAGAGGCACTGCGGGCCAGTCCTTTGCTGTTTCCAGGGCAAACCTGCGGGCCAGATCTAAATACCCTGCAGACTCGATCCAGCCCCGGGCTTTGAGTTTCACACCCCTGGTCTAAATTGATTCTTCTCTTTTACAGGCCCCAGCCATTTCTCCCGCGCCCAGTTTTTTGTTTGTTTGTTTTTGGTTCTGGGCAGAGGAATAGAGAAAGAGAGAGGAAGAAAGGGAAAAATATAAATAAAGAGAGAAAGGATTTGGTCTAGAAGGTGCAAGATGGTGGAACACAATATTCTGTTTCAGATCATGTAGTAGGACTACATCTTTTTTTTCTCCACAAAAATTCATGGAAAACAAGGATATGCAAGTAGTGAGCTAGTCTACAAGTGCCTTTCTTTCCAGATGCTTTTTTACAAATTTCTCTTGACTAGCAAATCTTGTTTGTTTGTTTATTTTGGTGGGACTTAACAACTAGACCAGCAGTCCCCAATCTTTCTGGGTTTACGGACCGGTGATTGCGGTGGAGTGTGAGTGGGAGAGGGGATGGTTCTGCATGCACACTCACCATTTGCACAGACCGGTTTTGAATAGGCTGCGGCCTGGGGGTTGGGGACCCCTGATCTACAGGACATTAGATTCCCTTGCATATGTGGACCATTGTTTATGCCAAGAGCCATTCAGAAATCAAGGCACATAATCTTGGGGAAGGCTGTTATCCAGTACATAAACCAGATCAAAGACTAGGAATAAAATTTTAAAAAGAAGTGAATAAGAAGGGGAGAGAAAGTTCTCCAAGTAGAAAGAAGCATCGTTGAAATAGGATTATGGTGATTATCTTATGAGAAATCTTCTGATTTATTACACTGCTTACCGTGTTGCTGTGTGTTTGTATCAAGATTGCAATGGTGACTTGACCAAGAAACAGGAGCAGTAGGAAGGCAAAGTACTATTGATGGAGAAAGAAAAGGCCAGCAAAATCAGTCAACATCACTATGGTATCAATAATTCATTCATTCATTCATTCATTCATTCATATTAGTCATTCATTTCACATGAACATTTCTTCAAAATTCTTACAAACAAGCATGCTAAATTTATTTTTAATCTGCATTCTTGCCTATACTTGATAAATATTATTAAAATACAGACACACGGTATAGCAGACCTCCAAGTAATCAATATTAAAAATCTACCGGTCATCATTAAAAACTGAGAACCACTGCCATAAACACTGCAAACACACCTGCAGCTAAATCACACAATACCAAATGTATAACTACGAAGGGAAAATACCACAGAGCATAATTACCTTTCTGCATTTACCACTACAAAAACCTCTTGGGAAATTACCACATCATGCACTATACAGGTTCTTCTTCCTTTTTTCTGTTGCATTATTAAAAAGTACACAACCAGATTTCTACCTGTGTCTTGAGGGATCACCTGAGTCATTAATTAACTAGAATGCTGCGCCATCATTTTATCAGTATATCAGTCTTACGTTAAAGATGAAATATCCCCATATACTATTCATGAATTCTCTCTGTTAATTGAATGGCATATGTGACATCACAGTTATACCTACCCTCCAAATAAAGTATATCAGCTTTTTCAGTTGTTTTATACAGCTTCCAATAGAATAGAATTTTTGTAGCTCGGGATTGAACGTGGAGTCCTTCTTGCTCTCTGATCTTGGTGGACTTCCTGCAGACCTTTCATTTCCAAACTAGGTAACATCATCAGTATTACTCACTGATGAAGTTACTTAGTTTGGCAATGAAATGCTTAGAGAGCACCCACAGTAATGATTCTTTGCAATCTTTCTATTACATGGAATTCTTCACTGTCATGCTGCTACACTGTCTTAGTCTGTAGATCCAGTTTCCAGAGAAATCCTAGTTTCCAGAATTGTTGCTTTAACCCAGGAGTTGGAAACCTTTTCTTGCCCAAAAATTCTGTCCCACATGGTTAAAATATTCTTCTCAAATTGCCCACCTAATTTCTTAGAACTTAAGAAATCTCAAGTTTCATCTCAAAACTTCAGAAGGTTTTTGTCTTCCTGAAAAAAAATCAACAAAATCTTTCAAAACCTATTCCATTTGGTGAAATGATTATAATGCTTTAAAAAAAAACTTTTAATTTAAGGGGAGCATCATTTGGGATGCAGGAGCAACATGTTGTTCCCACTGACTGAACCCAATAAATGCTATTTCTGTTTCTTAGAGAGTACCAGAATCAAGGCCCCCTACTTCTACCTGGCTACTTACAAGTCCTAGCATACACTTGATTTCCTTGAGTGAACCCAAGCATCCAAGAAATCCCAAAAACATTGTTAGGATGCCCACACCAGAGAAAACGTAGGACCATATCTTGAGAGCATAATATGAGGACCCTGTGAAGGAAGGAAGAAACAGATCGGAACAAATCAAGAACTGAAATGGTACAAATGATAGAAAATAAATCTGTAAAAATAATAAGCAGTCTCTATTATTTTCTTATTCCTCAACTGACAGAAATGTTTGGAAGAACCAAGCCCGGTTAACTGGCCTATGTCCAAAGAAGTATAAGTCTTTTGAAAGAGAATCTACAGGTGACGTACAACCATTCATTTAGTAAGCAACCAAATACTAAGAGTATTTACACCAAGACAAATTCCTTGTGTGTCCAGTCACACTTGGCCAATAAAGTATTCTATTCTATTCTATTCTATTCTATTCTATTCTATTCTATTCTAAACTGATCCTTGCACTTACAACTGCTGCAGTGTCACCACAGTCATATGATTGTAATTCAGGTGCTTGGCAACTGGCATGTATTTACAACTGTTGCACCATCCTGCCACTTATGACAAGCAAAGTCAATGGGGAAGCTGGCAGGGATGGTTGGAAATGGAGACCACACAACTTACTTAACAAGCACAATAGTTAATGGGAAAATACTTGGGGGGTGGGATTTGAAACTTTGATGTTATATATGTTGATGACAGCCAGATTACTTTATGCACAAAAATGGAAGGATGCTTTGATTCTCACAATGAGTGAATGACTGCAAAAATCGACTGGAGTTAACAGAGATGGCTAAATTGACTGCTTTCATTTAAGAAAAAAACCACAATTGCTTTTGTTTCTATTTGCAAACCGCTTCTTGATTTTGTGCTTGAGGTGGAGAAAAAAAATGAAAAATTGATTTTAGGTTTTACCACTTAGATCTAGAAATGGTTGGCTTATACTATTACCGTATGTAAAAGTAAAAAAGTTGAGGTTTGATGTTAATTTATTTTACTGCACCAAAGGGAGTTAGAAGTCAACACATTTTCTTTCTTCTTCCCCCTTTCCATACACTTTTCCCTTTCCTTCTTATTCCTTTGCCTATTTTCCTAATATTTTCCTTTATTATAAACTAATAAAAACCCCAGTGATGATAGTTCATGTAATGACGATGGCAAAAAAGATTGTAAAGGTGTGGTCACATGACTGCATCACTTAACAAATGAAATTTTTCAGCCCCAATTATGATCCTAAATTCTCTACAGTATTTAGAAAAGGAAGCCCCTCTCTAAATATGAAATATAAATAAGTAAATAAAGATGAAGGAGTTGACAATGCAATTTTATTTGGGAAGGGTGTGGCCTTTATGAAGGCCTATTTTCAGCTCCCCCTTAGTCCAAGTCTCTCATAGAGTCTGGAGGATGGCGTACAGTACTAAGTGGAAGAACAGATCTGCTGGGTGACACATTGTGCAAAACCATGTTTTGTTTTGTTCAATTTTGGCTTAGCCCAATGCATGAATACAGCTACTACAGTTTGTAAATCCTGTTTACATTCTATTAAGTGAAAACTAGGCTGTTGTGGTTTGTATAATTTTTAAAAATGGAAAGATGTCTTAAGAGCAAAAAAGTTTAGAAACACTGGTTTAGTACAAGGTTAAAATTCAACTATGTAAAGTGGGAATGAGCCTCTGCAACTTACCAAGTGTAGAAGCAAAATTATTTTGATCAAAAAGTATCCATAAGCCAAAACTGAAGACCAAACTTCCAAGCATCTGAAGAAAGGGAAAAAGATTTTTGATTTGATTTTTTTTAAGTATACATCTATGTATAATAGCCTCTTTTCCCACCCTGCATAAGCACCGCTTCAAGAACTAACTGCAAATCATAATTCTCTAGCTGGCTATCCAACTGGCCCCCAGCCATGTACTCACAAAAAAGAATAGGTTGAAGAGAAAGAGGAAGTATTTTGTAACACTGAGACATCCTTTGTGAGACATTATCTTCTTCCTGTTGGAAGGAAAAAAAAAACATTGTGTTTTATTCTACTTTAGCCATTCCCCTTCCAGGCCCCATCTACATCAATATAGGTGATATCCAGACCATCTCCCGAGGGACTTATTTAAAAAAAAAAGGAAAGATTTTAAAATGGAGAGCCTAGGCCTTTACATATAGTCCTCAACTTACAACCACAATTGAGCCCCAAATTTATGTTGCTACAGTAGGTGACACAGTTATTAAATGAATTTTGCTCTATTTTACAATCTTTCCTGTCACAATTGTTAAGTGAATCATTGCAATTTGTTAAGATAGTAAAACGGTTGTTAAGTGAATTTGGCTTTCCCATTGAGTTTACTTATCAGTAGGTCACAAGAGATGATCACACAACCTCAGAACATTGCAACCGTCATTAAATAGGAGTCAGTTGCCAAACATCTGAATTTTTATCAAGTGACCATGAGGATGCTGCAAGAGTCATAAATGTGAAAAAGATGTCACTTTTTTCCATGCCATTGTAACTTTGAACGGTCACTAAATGAACTGTTGTAAGTTGAGGACTACCTGTACCTCAAAATTTGCAGATTGAAGTCACACCAATGGCCCACTTGGTTCCAGAAAACTAGAAACTATTCCAAGATTCCAGAAATTATTTGAAAAAGGCAAGAAAAGATTATTCACTGACAAGACACAGTTTGTTGTTAATAACAACAGTTGCCAGCTGTTTCCAAATGATTAACTGGCCCCACCTTTAAGTTAAATTTTGAAGTTTTTTAAAGAAGACATTGCAACTTTATCTTTGAAAACAGCTTAAGGTGCAGCAATGACAGAACGTGGCTGTACATGAATGTTGTTCAAATTTGGCAACTTTAAGCTGTCTGGACTTTAACTCCCAAAATTCCCCAACCAGGCAATGTCTTAATATTGCTAGATTTAAGAAATACTGAGGTATATCAAGTGGCTACTGAAGAGCATGTGTTGTTTTCCTTTTTCTGATCATCCCAGTATAGAAGGAGTGCTAAATGGCCAGGAGCATATATAGAGTTGATCAATACCAGCCAAGTGTGTGTGTGTGTGTGTGTGTGTGTGTGTGTGTGTGTGTGTGTGTG